GAAGCCCAATCACCTCTCGCCCCCCTCCCAATCCCAGCACCTAGCCAACAGCCAACAGCCCCGTAGAAGTGACACCTCAATCAATTCATGCCCCCTCCTATATAACCCAGCACCTTTCCCTAATAAAGCGGAACTCTCCGGTGAATTGCTGCTATGTGTCGCTCCTTTCCTTTCAGCCATGGCATCTACCATTCATACCAGCTTAAAAAATGCACTGACTGCTGCCTTATCTTTCAGGGTGCCTTTCATGGGAAAATTTTTCTATTCCCATAAAGTAGCTACCAATTATCATTCTCATTTACAAAAAAACTAAGTATAAAAGAGGCAGATAAGTGTTTTTTATCAACATCAGTCAAGAAAGAGGAAACAAAACCTGATTTTCTAAATTTCATTAGGGTGTGTATTAAAAAGACAATGGTTACCAACAATTTCTTTCAAGCATTTGTTGTAATTTCTCAGAGCAGATTCAGCTGTAATCAGAAATTGGACTAATAAGTATGGATGACTGGAAAAACAGCAGTAGGGGGCTGACTGAAGAGGAAAAACAGCAGTAGGGGGCTGACTGAAGTGGAGGTTCAGTCACTACTATATGAATTCAGACACAGTCTAGTTTATACCATTTTTCCAATTTAAGTCAGTATTATATTATTTTGGATTCTAATATCCTCATTTCTTCTGAAGTCCTGGAAAAATATTAGTATTTATGATCAAACTGACCTTTTCACACTCCACTCTTCCAGCAGTGTGTAAAAAACAATTAGCAAGGGAGGCACTAAGAACTCCAATTCACTGGGAGTTCACAGAGCCTCTACCATTAGAAGTGGTTTTACAACCATTTCTTCTGGTGATATGAACAAATTTACACCTTTTAGAAGGTGCTAGAGAGAGGAGTGGTTAGAGAAATGTCCAACTTGCTTTACCTAAATCACCTTGAGGTAGATCGAAGCCCCTCACATTTTCAGGATTCAGCTGATGAAAGACAGAGCCTATCCATGGGTAATTTGCTAGAAAAACAAGGCTTTTGGCATTTAAACCTCCAGTGCTTCACAAACTTCCTGCTATTATCTAATAACAGCACTCCCTCTCCCCGCCCTGCCCTCAGCCATCACTGTTTCCATGGTCACCGACAGAGAAATAGCAGCCTGCCAAACGGCTTTTGTAGTTCCTTTTGCAGCTTGTTTTTCAGTATAGAATTAAAGCTAGCTGGGAAAAGAACCAGACTAATCTTTACAGCAGGGACACACATGCGGTTTGAAAAGAACAACTGGGTTTGGGACAAGGAATGTAGAAAAAGCTTAAGTGAGTTCATCTTGGTAGAGTAAAAAAGGTTCTTGGTTTCTAAAAATGCCTACTGAAGTATATATTTGGGAAGCTTTACTTTTGTCTTAAGACAGTATATCCTGACATGGCCAAAAGACAGATACAGTGCTATTCACTCAGTCTTTAATTGACTTAACAACAGAAGGGATGAGGTGAATGGAAGAGCAAGATCAGGCAAGTCTACTATGCCCCCGAAGTACCTTATTATCATTAAAGGAAATGGTAATTTACTCTAAAATCAAAATGAATGAACAGGAATTGCCAGACTTGGACTGGAGGACAGTGAACAAAGGATGGGCATCTTGGATGAGAGAAATGTTTAATCTTGGAGATGATGCATGCACAAAGCTGACTGAGCCAACTGCATGAATCAGAGGGGGGACTGATGCTTAGGAAACAAAGATCTCCTTACCATCCCAGCACAGGGAGAAATTGTTAGCAATGCAGTGTGTAGAACTGGGGCAGCTGTCAGAAGATCAGCAGCTCCAGAGAGCTGCCTAAGGTGCCAGACTGCAAAACAAACAGCTGCTACAGGGGTGGAGGAGTTTGTTTAAAAAAAAAAAAGGACAATTTTTTTTCTGAAAATGACCCAAAACAGAAGATTGTCTGTCTCCAAACTGGATATTTGAATAAAGTGCAGGAATCTTATGATTCTTCTGTATCAGTTTCAGAAGAGAAACTTTGACAGGAGTCCAATAGATATCAGCTTTTCTTCTGACAGGTTAAAACTAACTGGATTTTGAAAGAGATTCCTTCCCCAACCTGTAGCATGCTCCAAATGCCATGCTGACAGACATGAAAATTATAATCTGTAGTGCATACCAAGGTAGGCTTCTAAGAGTTACAGAAAATCAGACTCCTACCAACTCCACACAGAAGACTAACCTAATTTATACTTTTAAATTTATGTTTTTTCTTGAGTTGATGAATCGTGAGTCATGTTCTCAGAGCTATCACCACAGTTTAGAAAGAAAAGTAGACACAGATTTGCTATGACATGACCATCTCCTTTCAACCCTTCAGAAAAGAGATCATTATAATAAGATATAGATGATGTACTCTTAAGACACATTTCCAAGGCTGTCAACTCAAAGAAAGTCTTCACACCTCTAGTTTAACTAGATTTGTGGAGCTCTCCCTCAATTTCTGATATCTGTTAAGGAAATTTGAGGGAGTCTTTCCAAAAGTTTAAACTTGGATCTTGTTAACCCAAGAATAGAACTTACAGGTTCTTGGGAAAAAGGTCATTTTTAAACTGTACTCACCAATATGTAATTATAATTTCAAATATATTAATCTTCAATTTTCCACCTTAAACAAAAGCCATAACTGAAGGGATATACAACTGCATCAAATTCAATCACAAGCAATTCTGTGCAGGAAGCCAAAAATTATTAGTCAGTAACCTGAGGTACAGATACCTTTACATTCTTCCCAAATCCTTTTTCCTCAGCAAACTGTTTCAAAATCTCAGACAATTTTCTTACTTATTAGGTATGTATTTTTATCAAATCGGCTACCACAGTTATAGTGCAGATTCCTGTGCTGTCAGCAGACAATTAAGGGGACTTTACCACATTTTTAGTATTTCATTGTTTGTGCTTTCACTCATGTTCATCAAAACAGACTTTTAAGAAGCCTTCAGTGTGGGCAGTCTCCCTCTTAAACAGATTTTGTTCCAATTGGTTGCCCTCAGTAACAATGTTATATGGTGGATTCTTCATCCATGCATTAACCTGTAACATAACTTAAGTGTATTACCAAGAAAGAGTTGATGAGAAAATGAAGACTTTCAGTTGTCTGGAGGGGAAGAAGAACAGGCGTATCTGGACACCAGCACATTGTTAATGCTTAGTAGCTGGAAATTGCTCGTACAGTACAATTACCAAAAAGCATGCTTTGGGAATTCTTAATCTTCAAATCTATAAATAGGCCCCAAATGTTTTTAAAAAGGGGGTGGTGGTGAATATATGTGTATAAAGACATAGTAACTGAATATTTAAATACCTGGCAACAAAGAAAATAACTGCAAAGAACTAGAGACTAGTATTACACCAAAGACTATACTAGATATACTATAGCATATTTGCCAATCAGATAGATGGAAGATAACTCTGAGAGGAAGGCACAACACTAGCATGTCCAAGATCATGAGCTCCAGGAGGGGAAAGATGATTTTGTCTTACTCATTCACTGCTGCAGCCCCAACTCCAGTACACACCTGGCAGTGTTCCATATGTCTGGCTTGAAAACAGATTCTGAACTTACAAATGAGACATGCGATATTTCTCTGCTATTTATGTAATAAGAGTCTTACTAAGGGCAGGCTAAGTTCTTCACATGTGTGAACTTGGGATTTAACTAAGTGGAATATGGGTATAAAAGCATAACCCCACCTAAAGAGAATATGGCAAAGGTTGGATAGTCTGCTTCTCAAGTGGAGCTCCCTGGTGCCAATGAAACTGTGAAAGCTATTTCAAGTGCTCAGGGAGCAAGTCCACTCTGTAAGTCACTGGCGACTGACAATTCCCTTCTAATACAGAGCAAAGTTTCTGTGCAAACCGAAGCAAGAAAACCTTAATCAATGGAAATTATACCAACAAAAGCACTTCAGGGCTAAATACAAAACAACACAATATGCTTTAAAACATCACGCTTGGCAACCCAAATGCACATCAGGAACACAGGCCAGTCCATTATCTGTATTTTCAGAGAAGCATATCTGATGAAGAACAGACATGAGCACTAACTACTAATTATGTGTCTGGATTGGGTCATATTCAAAACACAGCCTTGTAGGCCTTCCACACTGACGGGGTCTGGTTTAATGTTGTAAGCTGAATGATCAGGCACCTTGGTTAGAAAAAGACCATGGAAATAAGAAAATTTGGTAGAGATTTGCTCTTTCCTTACGGTTGCTTCTTTTTATCTATCTTAGCCCCAAGGTTCCACCTTTTTGATTTAAAAAATTAACAGCCCTAGTATCCCTCAGATGTCACATAATATAGTTAAGAGCTGGGATGGAAAGCTGAAGTTGTTATATAGTACAGTCCCTGCTTCTCTACTTGAACGTGAATATCTTGCCACCTCTGATAATTTGGCTTGAATTTTCTCTCTCTGAAAGAATTACAAGATTCATCTGTATTTCAGGAAATGACTAAGAAGGCAGTGAGGATGCATGTGCTGCTCTGTCATAGAAAAGTGGCAACACTGCCATGAAGACAACTTACTAAAAATAAAGGATGCTCCAGGGGTATCTTCCTTGAGCCTCCTTTCTCTCCCTGCTTGTCTCCACTGGCTTGAGCCTTCCCTGTATAAGCCCTCCTTCACAGCATTGATCATAACTCCAATTACTTCAGTAATTAGTAGTATCTACTTACTCCCTGTCTCCAGGAGGACAGGGACTGAGCTTGTCCTTTCTGTCAGAGGCAATGAGCAACCAGCACCTGACACATGGGAGGCAGAAACAGAAAGTTTCTGTTGCAAATGAAAGAGTGGCCACTGTGGAAGTCAAAAGTTAAACACGGGGCAAGCAATCAGCTGAAAATGTTTCATCAGGAAAATACAAACTCCTAGCCTCTAAATCTGAAAACAGGAGCTTTTAAGGAACCTACTCTTTTCACAAATTAGGAGGCAGGAAGAATATTCTTAAAAAGGAGAGAAAGAGAGAGAGTACTCACAGGTGGGGGCCTCTTCCTCATTTCAAAAGTGCGTGTGGCACCAAAACTGAGTGAAGCAATGACAGGGCACCTTCCTAGGGAGGGTTCATCATCACTGTGCCAGTCCACACTGTCCTTCTCATTTCGGTAAAGATTGCAGAGCAAGGAGTTGAAGGTATGGCCAGTGTTCTCTTCAATTTGGTTCTTTAGTGTGTGCAGCACAGGAAGCCACTGCAGCAAATAGGCCAAGAAAAGGGACAGAGACAGTTCACGTAAGACACAAGGTAGCAGCTACATGGAAAAACAGAAAGACTGCAACATCAGGCAAGTTATAAACAGGGGCATGGAATAAGCAAACCACTTGGATGTAATAAACAGAAGGCAAGAAGAGTAGTTTCATTCTCTCCCATTATTTCCATTTTGAAGCAAGTTAACATCTGCAATTTGATTAAGGTATTAAAGTTGAAATAGCAGTGCCATGAGGACCAGGCCTATTTAGCCATCTCATCTTTTCCAGGTTACATACGTGACCCCTGCAAAGAAGCAACTGTAAGTACATCCAGGGCAGTCACCCTGGTGGCATGAGGATGGTAAATGGAGCAGCAAGGCCAGTCTGCCACCACAGCTGATGGGTTAGCAGGTAGTTAGCAGACACAGACTGAAGTCCGAGGAGTGGAACGACTTCCTGCTGGGTGGCTGTCTGTTCATTCTATCCTTGTTTTATCATAAATAGTAGAGCTGCTTTTAAAAAAAAGATATTTAATGTTCCCAGAGTGACTAACTTTTAAGAACAGAACCTGAAGAGGAAAAACATTTTACAGAATGGAAACATGACATTCATGGCCTTGATAAGCATACAAGCTGTCAACCATAGACAGATTCCACAGCTCTTCCTGAGCACCAAGTTCACTTACATAGTTTATATTTGGAACCCACTGTCTTTCCATGTAGATTATAGGAAGCTGTCACCCTTGACCTTAAATTGTATTTGGGAGCTACCTATAATCAGCATAGCTTGTACTGGTTGTTAGCATTTTACATTTTTTCCCTCCAAGAAATCTCAAGTGCTTTACAGAGGTTTCTTTAGGACAGTGCTTCTCACACAACTATCAGAATAATTGAGGACCTCAGAGACCTTCTGTTCAAATGCATTACAGCTATGATACCTACCATATTAAAAATTAAAACTGAAGATTTAAACTCTTGGTTAATTGACTTAGAAAAATAACAAACCCATTACATATTAACATATTATTTTATGAAAAATAACTATTTTCCAATATAAAAAACTGGCAAGAATGGCACTGTTTTGCAAATCTCTTTAATGTCTGGCTTAATGGAAGAGAGCTGATTCTTGTATCTAGTAGATCTGTTGCACTAGCTGTTTCTGCTGATGTATATGAAGAAAATGGGCCACACAGATATACAGTTAGAAAAAACAGAAGTCTTCTATGGCCCTTTCAAATAATTATAGGTTTTTTTAATATTACACCAAAAGTCAACAAGTACTTCTTAAAGGTCAGCTGCAATGCGGAATCTGAAAACCTATCGACAAACTTTTCAGAATGATACATTTAAACCCACCAGTCCAGCTTGCACTTTGAAGGATCTTTTAATCTTGCATGATTCTGGAATATCGAGCATTGATCATTTGGAAATTACTGGTTCACTGAGTTATGCAGATCTTCTGTTGACATATTTCATTACACAATATTAAAACAATCACATACCACTCAACAGAAAGGCTAAGTAATGGGAAGTAGTCAGGCTCAAAGTGGCAGATAGAGGAGTTTTTCCAAAATTCTACCTTTGGCTTGAAAACTCATCTGTCATCATTAGTAACAAATCCTGTCCATTGTTTTTCTTGAAGTGGCACTCAAGTCAGTTACTATGAGAAAATATCTGTCACATACTCATCTGAATAACTACAGTTTGTCTCTTAGTTGTTTTTCCTAGTAAAAATGGTCCATGTTATAAAAGTAGCTATTTCAACTTAGAGCTTAAACAATCACACAAGTGTTTTTCCTCAACAACCATTATACTTGAATGTAACAGGAGTGCTTAGTGCTTAATGTATACTTCCCATTTCATCACACTATTAAAGAGATGTACTCAAAATGAGATTTAATAAAACTAATAATGTTTGCTGCTTCATTGAGGGTCATTCTTAAATGAAACCAGCATTTATTTTTTACACTGGAAGTGCATGGTGCTCAATAATACAGTGATTACCAGTGCGGTTTGGTGACAGTGCCTTGATTTGTGCTAAAGCACCAGCACTTTTATCCACCATTACTTTCATGTCATCAATGAAATTCAACACAGTGAAAATATCATCTAGTCTTAGTATTACTGTAAAAGTAGTTTTGACCTTGTGAATTCCCATAAAGGATTTCACTGACTTCCCACCCCCACCCACAGGGATCCACAGACTCTACATTAAGAATTAACCACTTTCAAGAACCCCTTCAATGTCCACGTTCTATAGTAGCAAACGACTGGATGTTCAGCAAAGGAAAGCATTAATTAAGTATATCCCATGACTATTGTCAGGTATGACTGTCAGGGAAGCATAGGTGGGAATCACTCAGTTTTGCTGTGATGAAGAAGTCATGATAACAGCTAGATTCCTTGTTATGGATATCAGCATTACATCCTAAGCAGAGGAGTTTAAGAATAAACACAACAACCACAAACAAAACTTAGATCAATAAAACAGAAATGTTATTAAACTAATCTATGTTCTGGAGAATAAATTCCACAGTAATGTTAACAAGCTGTATTTCCTATTTATTTTATGGCTTAAGTTTATCTTCACGGAGATAAAAGTCAGATGCTAGAATTATACACCTAGCAAGAAAAACAAGAATGTAAAGAAAGAAGATAACTTTTCTGCAATGTGACACAGAAACTAATTAGCACCTCTCTGACTTGCTTAGGAACTGAGCACTGTGATAACACCAAGTTTGTATTATGTTTCTAAGTAAGTGTATTTTTTCTTGGATATTTTTGGTGGTGAAGTAAAAAAAAAAGGGGATAATGAACCAGAGGATTAATTTAGACTCTCCAACCAATACTCTATATACAGATCCCTCAGAACTGAATGTCTAAATCAAAATTCAGCATCATCTCACTGTTCAGTGAAGACATGTTATCCTTAAAAGACATTTGAAGAAAACAGTATGAGAAAATATGAATCAAAGAAGTAAAAGGACCTATTCAGTGGATTTCAAACCATGTCTTGTAGAGTCCTAGATACCACAGTGGTGCCTTTGGGATTACAGCAGGAGAAAGGAGAGGTCAAGCTGAGGAAACTCCCTGCTACTCAAGGCATACTTTTATTTTCATATATTGGGTTCATATAACACTTAGTTTGGACAAAGACTAAAGGAAGTTTCATAACCTATGACTGAATCTGTTCCTATGCTATGGATTTGAAGCCTGAGATAATCACAATTTTTAAGTTAAACAAGTGCCCCAATACAACATATAATCACATTAGCGAGTCCATCCTTAAAATATCTGAGAAAGAAGCATCTCTTTTGATTTTGTTCAAGATGGTAAAAAAATAAACTAAATCTATTAGCAATAAATACAAAGTTATGAGCCAGCCAAATTTGACTGAGGAATTCTAATTTGACAACAAAAGAGGCTTGCTGAAATAAATGAGGGCGCACATACACAGATGATCACAGAATACTAAATAGCTACAAAATATGCCGTAAAACAATATTTAATGATAGCAAAACATGTTAATGATACAGCTAAATGAAATACAGTATAATTTTTACAGAAAAATTATCTATATACATTTGTGTAAAATTAAAAAAAGGCCAGAACCAAAACATTATCCATGAAATGTGGGTGAAAGCATTATCCAAAATTTTAATTTTCTTTATGCGTATCTGTAGTTTCTAAATTTTCAATAGTAAACATACTAATTACATTATAAGAAAAGAATTGTCATTAAAAAAATTCTTTTGAAGAAGTGTTAAAATGTCCTCAAAGCCTACGTGGCCTCCCACTCAGAGGATTTTATGGGCCTAATGCTTAGACTAGGCAGTGGTTCTCAACCAAGGCAATTATGCAGCCCCAGCAGATGTTTGGCAGTGTCTGGAATCATTTTTGGCTGTCACAACAGGGTGAGAGGTGCCTCTGGCATCTGGTGGGCAGAAGCCATGGATATTGCTCAGCACCCTGTATTGCACAGACAACCCCAACAACAAGAAGTATTGGCCCCAAACTGTCTGTGACACCAATGTTGAGAAATCCTGTTGTAAGACATTAACTAGAGTGGATGTGAAAACACTTATTCCCCGGAAGATGTTTAATCTGCAACTTCTCTGCTAGGACTGTTGACAAGAAGATAAATTAATTCTGACAGAAAGATGCCTAGCAGTCTAGGTTGGACCAGCCTAGTTCAATTCTTCATGTTTCCAAATCAACCTCAGATATATCCCTCAACACTTTCCAGGGTTACACTCTAAATGGAGCCCTAGAGACCAAGGCCTATAGCTATCTCCTCACATGGAAAAGCATGGCCCCTCCCCAGTCAATAGTTTATCCCTGAACATTTTAATAAAGTGGTAGTTAATGATTACAAATTACTAGAAGCTCTAAGATGTATCACATTTCTGTTTATCCCAATGCCATAAGCATTGACTTCTTCAAAGTCTCTTTCAATAAAGCATAACATTTGTCAAAGGCAAGATTCCAGGGACTAAACAGGGAGCTATTTCTTGGACCTTTACTCTATCCTCTGGACGAGCATAATTTATATACTAGAATTTCTTTGTTTACTGTCACAGAAATTTTTAAAAGCAAGAGCAGCATAGAAATAAGCCAAAGCACTGGTAAGATGGAAGTTTCAGAACTGCATCATAGAATGAATACAAAGTCAACAAGAAAAACAAGAGATTTTTTTCACAAATGGCAAAAAAGCCTGAGAAATAGAGAAATTCTGATCTCGTTGGCAGTCATAAAGACTTGGCCCCATAACAAATGTGTACCAAGGTATACACAGAAATACTATACCCAGAAAATTTGCACGGGGGTGGGGGTTGGAGATTATAAAACAAAGTGTTTCATTTTCCTGAAATCCTCCTATCTGTTTCCAGTTTTTTCTCATCCTCCAAGCTCATCTATGGATCAAAAAGCTTATCAAAAGTAATAAGCATACAGACTCAGTATCTGAAGCCAGAGGACTTTTTGAGCTAGGGACCATCATGCAGCTCTGAAAGGTAACTTACTTTTATTTTATAGTACTCTATAGTTTGTAGTTTATAAAAGCATACCAGTAACAATATTCCAACATACGTGAGGATTGGCTTCCACAGTGACTCCTGAGTAAGTGTAAGGAAGTTCTCCATACCATGCTGTAAGTCTTGGTTGCTGGTAAGTTACATCTAAGAAAAAAAATACAGGGTTTTTGAAATGGCTTAATGCTATTCAAGGTGCATCTACTGAGTGCCAACACCATGCCTTGCAGTGTGCAAGAAGCTATGAGAAATACAAAGGAGGAGGAGGAATGGACTCTGACCCGAGGTTCCACCTATGTCATACAGGACATGGGATTTCAGGAATAGAATGGAGAAGAGCTAAAAAGAAGACAAGAGAAGGTATGTGGGCAGAATCAGTATTGGCAAAGGCTCTGAGGTGGGAATATATTAACTTACTTTGTGTCAGGGATGAGACAAACAACAGTGAAGGGCACTGTGGAACAGTGGAGTCAGATTAAGGAGTATCTAAAAAGCAGGATATGGAAATTGGAGGATTTATGGCACAAACATCCATACAAGAAAAGACAAACTGTTCACCCATGTGCCACTGCTATACAAGCACTTTTGATTCCACATGAAGAAAAAAAGGACTCTGATCAGCCAAAGCATGTAGCTGATTTTAGTCAGAAGTTTGGCTGTCCAATTTATTTAGAGAGGGAGTTAACCACAGATCTGCTATTTTTCCCAAATTGATATCAACCACTATAACAATAAGAACAATAATAATAAAAGCAGCTAATATTCATTGAAGGCTTACTATGTACCACCAGCCATTCTATTAAATATTATCTCATTTTATCATCACAACAACCTTATAAAGGAGCTATTATTATTAGGTCCATTTTTCAGATCAGAAACCAAGGACTGGAAAATTATTTAACTGTTATTTGCTTAAAAATAACAATTACTTTAAATGACAGGAAGCTATCAAAGTCAAGTCTACCACCAAAAGCCCCACTGTAAAAACTGATGGAAGTCAGGAGAAAAAGCTAATTCCTATTCTGATTCCTAGTCTGAGTCACAAAAATGAAGCCAGTATACTTTGCCTCTTTCTTCACAGAAAATTTAAAATCATTCACTGTGCCAGAAAGGAAATTTTCTACTAGAACACTGACGCCCCCCAGTGGCCACCTCTGGTAGAACAGGCACTGCTGCCCGTGGATGCCCACGGGAGGGCAGTTTCCAAGTCAGGTCATCTTCACAAGCACAGGAGCGCACACGTGCTGAAGCTAAAGGAAACTGGACTCCTCTAGTGAAGTTAAATGAGAATAGAAAGATGGTAAGAAGGATCACAAAAGAATGTATGCCAAAGAGAATCAGAAAAAAAGCTAGCTCTGGAAGTTTCTACGAAGAAAGAGGAAAGATGGCACCATCTGAAGTCATAAAGGCAGTGGACAAACACAAAACAAAGGGAGGTAAGCACGCCAGTCACAGTTCTGCCAATCCAAACTCCCTTCAGTTCCCTGCACTTCCACTTTCACAGCCCTGCCCTGTTCTCTTTGATCTCTAGGCCTTCCACCTGCAGTTTCTTTGCCTGGAATACTTTCCCGTTCGCTTTGACTAGTTAATTCCTACTAATCCTTAGGCTCTCCATTTGGTTTTGAATCTGTTTAAGTCTGGTGGTGGTGAAAGAGGCAGTATGTTAGAAAACCCTCTGGAAAGGGAGACCAGTCGGCAACAGCTGTGGTCTCAGAGATCTACTTACTCTCTCTGATGCCAGTCCTCTGTTTCCAGGGAATATCTTGACAGAGCTCTTCCAATACCCAGTCGGCTTCTTTTATGTCAATGAAGCCAGGATACAAACTCACCCTTGATACAGAAGGAACCATGATTAACTAAAGAACACAGAGAGGATGGACTAATCTCCAGCCAGTAGCTGCCTCGTTACTCTGGATACTTTCTGTTTGGGGTAGATGAAATCATCTCACCATACCTTCCATGGCAAGCAGAGACCAGTATCACTCCTATCACGATGCTCTGGATATAAAACAACCTCCTTTCATAGCAAGACAAATGGAGAGGCAAGGAAGGGAAAAGGGATGCATGAGGGCTTTTGAAGACTTAGTTCCAAAGTTGCTCCAGCATTGCTTGGCTGTGAAACCTTGGGCAAATTACTTAACCTCTTTGAAACTTTGTTTTTCTTATCTGTAACACAAAGATGATATCTATGTCACAGGGTCATTGTTAAAAGTAGATAACTAATAAAATGCCTGGCCTATGATATCTTAACAATTGACAGTCTTCCTAGACTATGCCAAATTGCAGGGAGTGATCATTATGACAGCATCAAAATAAACACTTCCAAATGAGGGGTCTTTCTTTCACTAGATATACCTTCTTGTAAAAAGGCAAGGTCAGCTCAAAATCATTTTGGATATCCTTCTTAAGAAACATTCTGAAAGCCCTTGGAACATTTTCCTAAAGCCCACTCTTTGGAAGGAGCATTTGACTTTTTAAAAGAGCCAAAGCTCGCCTGAAGCCATACCTGATTAACACTGACACATGATCAAAGTGATGCAACTGGTTTTCTTGAGTGACTGTTAAGCCTGCTTTAAAAGGGAGGTTCCAAAAAGGGTTCTAACAGTGGCAGTGCTTCCCAGTCCAATAGAAGCTCTCTCTAAGGAATTCATTTAGATACATAAGTTCTGACATATTTATTTTAAATGCCACATTATTTTAGAGTGACAGTCAACACACTCATACATTAAGGTGATGCTTTCAAATGTTTTCAAAACAATGACTAACATTTAATATGCCCTAAGTTGCAAATGCTTTAACTTCCCTGAAATAAACTTTAATGTAGATTAAAATATTAATCTATTAGTTTAATTAAGGATTAACATAACTTCGTATGTTATATATAATAATATATGGTTAAATAATGTGTGTAGGAATACAGATATAGCAATATTATAATAATATAATGTAGCATTCACAACACAGAAGTTGAGGCTAGACCAACTCTTATTTTAAGTTATTATGTGGCACAAGGGAAAAGTACTCAATCTCCCTGGGCCTCATTTCCTCACCTGAAAAACCAAAGAAATAATAGTTGCTATACGTGACAGAGAAACTATGAAAATGTTTTGAAGTTAGAAGTGCTTTGTAAAGAGAGATATTACCAAATTCTTACTCCTCAGGAATTTAAGGGATAGAAGTTATCTATTTCAAGTAAGGCAGTAGAATATTTTAAGAGATTATAACTTGGTAATAATCATAGTCACTTTCTAGTGAGGATTCACTTACCTAGATACACCTGTGGGTGACAGGCTGATTTCATACACACCCTCTTTGCTAAAGAAGCAAAGAAAACAGATTTGTTGGTATGTGGCAAAACAACACACTCCACTCAGTATAAGGGCTGTCCTTTAGAGTTCCTAAAGTCCACTCTGAGGGTGCATTATGAGGGAGGTGTGGCCCCACCTTCCACCACTGAGATAAAAGGCAAGATGGTGGTACACCATGCATGGCATTGGGAATAGAATCTTGACAGTATCAGGTCACAGAGACAAAGACTGGGATAAAATGAATTCTGATTCTACCCTATACATTTTACCCGTAATTTAGGCTGATATGGTCCACACAAAGGGGTGCCAAACAGAGCACCCCTTTGGAAACTCTGGAATAGGGATGCATTTAACAGGTAGCAAGCACATCTCAGGGCTCTGAGCTTCTGCTGCTTTCAAAGATACATGTCTAAATGAGGTTCCTCCTCTGATTAAAATATCCTTCAAAGGCTCCCCAGGAACTTCGCAGCATTGCGTTCAAGGTCCCTATGATCTAGCTCCATCTCCTGACAGCTCCCACCAAGTCTTCCTCCTCCAGCCAGAATTATTTCTTGGGATCTCCTGAATACACCATGTTTCTAATCCTTCTTTTCCTCCTCACCATCCAGCAGCCCCAGTCCAATCCACCCCCAGCTTTTGTCCAGTGGGAAATTCTAATTAATCCTTCAAAATCTCAGCTTAGCATCCTGTGAACCTTTCCATGCCTTTAATCCACCCAAATGATGTTAGACATTTCATCCTCTGTGCTACCACTAGAACTTACTACAAGTCTACTGTTTCATGATATTCAGGATTACAACTTAACTGATAACATGTCTACTTCATTTACTAAACTGTGGGCTACTGAGGGGCTAAGAATAGGTGGTTATTCTCTTGCCCAGTGTCTGGCATATAATAGATGGGCAATAAAAACTTAATGAATTTAATCAAATGTGCCAAAGTACAAAACTGTGGCAGATGTGTAGGGTGGTGAGGCCCATGGTGAGCCAAGTGGCCCAGACTGGATAGATGCCTCTGTCAAGATAACTACGTGAGATCCTTCTCAGACAGAAGTATGTTACAGACAACAGTGTAAAGGGGCAGTTTCACATCACCCTCTGCCATGAGTTAGCA